TATCTTCTAGCCAACCCTCCTTATTTCCCACCACCTCATTTAGATTACATATATCACTCCACCACAGAAAGCCTACCCTCCTACCCTCTCTCACCCAATGAGTCCAATTCTTACCTAGAGTGCCATATCTAGACTTAATCACCCTTCTCCAAAGATTACATTCCCCACTCGCCATCATATATCACCATTTACCTAGCATTGTAATGTTAAATAAACATAAATCCTTTACACCTAGCCCACCCTCCACTTTACTTCTGCAAACTACCTCCCATTTAACCCAATTAATTTTTATTTTTTCCTACTCCCTCCCATAAGAAATCTCTTCTAGTTTTATTGATGATAAAAGTAATACCTTTTGGGAGACGGTAGATAGACATCATGAAACCAGGTAGCGAAGACAAGACAGAGTTCAAGAGTGAAATTCAACCTCCCATGGATAACTACTTGCTTTTCCAACTTGCTAGCCTTTTTTAAAAGAGTTGATTAAGCCTTTCCATGTAGAAATGTTTCTTGGATTCCCACTGACCTGCATCCCTAAGTATTTGAATGAAATTTCACCTTTATTACAATTCAAAATACAAGCCATATTAGTTAGCCACTCCTCCTCCACATTCACTCCCATGATATGGCTTTTCAAAAAATTAATTTTGAGTCCCGAAATTAGTTCAAAGCTCCTCATGATGCACTTTGCAACCCACATATTCTCCTTAGTAGCTCTTCTGAACATAAGAGTGTCATCTGTGAATTGTAGATGGGATATATGCACTTTCTCTCATCCAACGTCCACCCCTTTAAACATGCCTTTTGTTACTGTCAATTCAATCACCCCATTTAAGTCTTCTTCAATGATTAAGAATAGGAATGGGGAAAAGGGATCCCCCTGTCTAATGCCCTTTGTAATGTTGAACTACTTTGCAGGCTCCCATTAATTAGAACAAAAACAATGGCTAATTGCAGGCATTCTTATATCCATTTTCTCCATTTTTCACTAAAGCCCTTTCTCATCATCATATAATCTAAAAAAACTCTAGCTTACGTCATCATATGCCCTCTCAAAATCCACCTTAAAACAAAATCACTCCTTGCCTCCTCGCCAAACATCATCAATGACTTCCTTAGCTATCACTGCACTATCCGCTAATTGCCTTCCTCCAATAAATGCCATCTGATTTTCCCCAATCACATTACCTAGCACTTTATGTAATCTATTAGCTAAAAGCTTAGATAGGATCTTATACATTACTCCAATAAGTGAGATTGGCCAGAAATCCTCCACACATTCTAGATTCTCCACCTTCGATATAAGCACCAAAAAGATGCATTAAAACCTTTGACCAGTCTCCCATTTGTTTGAAACTCTTATATAAATCCAATCATGTCTCCTTTAATGGCTTCCCACATCATTTTGATGAATTTGAAATTAAATTCATTAGGTCCAGGGGATTTAGAGCTGTCACATGCCTAGATTGCTGCCTTGATCTCATCCTCTTCAAATGTTGTCATTAGCATCAAATTCTAATCATCCGTGATTTGATTGAACTCAATATCATCAATTGTTGGTTTACTTCACCCTTTATCAACAAACAACTTTTCATAATATCTTGCTACCTTTGCTTTAATCTCCTCCACCTTAGTGCATTGTTTGCCATTAACTATGATGCTATTAGTCTCACTCTTCCTCCATCTATTCCTTATGCATCTGTGAAAGGAAGCTGTGTTAGCATCCCCATCCTTCAACTAGGTTTTTCTTACTTTCTACTGGAAGATCCTTTCCCTAATTCTTAAGTTCTTCCATAACATCTTTACATTCTCTCTTCTAGTAGCCACTTCCTCTTCAATTAATTGCTGATTTTCTCCTTTTAGATCCAGATCTTGAATGACCTCCTCTGCCTTTGCTATCTTCTCATCTAGCTTAGATGCATAGCCTTTGCTCCAAACCTTTAGCATTTTTTTTAGTATTTTTTAGTTTCTCCTTAAGACAAAAACCTACTAGAGATGAAGGAATTGACCCAGGTAAACCATTCTACTTCAGATCTAAAACATGGAGATTAGAAATGCAACACAAATTTTTTGGTATCCTTCCCCTAAACATGTTTCTTCCCAACCCTAGTATTGTCAACATCGGTAGACTTTTTGCTATCCATCTTGGAATACCTCCATGGAAATGATTATTGGCAAGATTAATTTCAAACAAGTTTTTGTAGTTACGTAGGTACAAAAGCTTTCCATAAAGATTGTTGTCATTCAAGTTTAAACATAAAGGTCAAACTCCTTATTTGCACCATATATATTATTTTTTTCACAATCAATTCCCTTCATAATTTGAAACCTGCAAAAAACTCCAAATTATCAACAAAGTCAATGTGCAAATAGAGGCCTCCATAATTTGAAACTTAGGGTTTAACCATTAATTTTTTAAGTTTTTTACAAGTTTTAAATTATAAATGATGTGGATCGAGAGTAAAAATTTTTGAAGGTGTGAACTGTAGGAAAAAATAATGTGCATGGTGCAAACAGGGGATTTGGCCAACATAAAAGCCAACTGTAGGGAGCAAAATTAAAGAGGATCAAATCTCATGTAAGGATTAATCCATCTATAGAATGAAGGTATATCAAACCAATATAAAGATTAATCAACCAAGAAGAAATCAATTTAGTAATTGATTGATTTCAAAATTTTGATATTGATTATAATCTTATTAATAGAAGATTTTCAATTAATTATTATTTCATTATATTATGTATCCATTCACCCTATAAATAGGGTTGCTCATATGTAAGAAAAGAATAAAAAATAAATAAATGTGCAAAGCCATAAAGACTTTTATACTATAGACCAAGGAGGCTTGATGCATCATGAACCACGTAATATTGTGTCTTGTTCTCTCTCATTTATCTTTATTTTATTCATATTATTACTATTTTATCATAAGATTTTTATTATTTGAGATTTCCTTGTTATATTAGAAACTTCTTCAAAAAAGAGTTTAGAATGCTGCCATTGAAGTAGTTCTTAGAAAGATCTGACACCTATAAATACTTCAACATGCTTATGGAAGATGGAATGCTTCCATTGAAGTTGTTCTCAGAAAGATCAATATAACTCAAATACAACATATCTTGGCCAAAGTTTTTTGGAATGGATCCTGAGAATAAGTTGTGCTTCAAACCAAGTAGGACGACACCAGAAAAGTGTGGAATCGGTCCCTCAAGTAAATTAAAGTCGAGATGTACCATTGATTTTGGTGCAAATTTTAATGAACTCGGAAGCTTTTCATGCAATGTATTGTTGTAAAGAACTAAAGTGTTAATCTGTGGAATCAATTTCCAAAAAGGAACCAAATCTGTAATACTGATATTAGCAAGGAGAATAGATCAATTCCTTTTGAGTTTGTAGCCATACAGGAAATTTGAGATCTATTTGGTAGTTAGCAATGTAGATAGAATTTAGACTAAAAGGAGGAATCCAGTCATATCCCACATCAAATACCTATGACTTTTCTCCAAATCTAAAGGATATACTAAAATCTTTCAAATTTTTTTTTGGGGAGAAAGTGAATCCTAGATACAACACCTTCCCAGTTATTATTATCAAGATATAAAAGCGTCAATTCTTTCAGTTGTCCAATAGATTCAGGTATTGGTCCATTCAATTTGTTGAAAGAAAGGACAATCATCTCCAAGGATGATAGGTTTCCAATGGAAACTGGTAATGGAGCAAAGAAATAATTCGAAGAGAGATAAAAGAGGCCTCATGTTCTTAAGATTTTCCAAGGATGGAGGTATATGCCCGTCAAACCCATTGGTAGCCTATTCCAACACTTCCAAACTATAGTTGTTGCATTTTGACAAACTATCCACTAGTTTGACTATTTCTCTAGTAATTTCATTGCCATGTAAAGCTAGGAATTGCAAGATGCATAGATTTTCCCAATCATCAACATTGTCTAGAGAGTCCTTAATTCCACTCTGACAACTGATATTGAACAACTAGACAGGTAATGGTGAATTGAAATCATTTGATGAAAGATCAATGACCCAAATAGAACTGAAGTTCACAATTGGATCAAAAGGAGGTTGCAGTTAGGAAGATACAAGTCCTCCAAGGAAGGGAGCATGTTTACAGCTTGCAACCAGTTGGTTAATTCTGAACTAAGGTTTTTACCATTTAAAAAAAAGGTATTTTAACGAAGAGAGTCTAGAGATAAAATTCAAATTGGAAACCCATAGAAAATTATTCCAAGAGAGACCAAGGTAGCACAAATTTGACAAATTTCCAAGATGAGGCAGAGCCAATCCAGCAAAAGATGCATTAGAGAGGATAAGCTAGCTCAAATCGGTGAATGAACCAATGAGTAGTG